ACGCGGGCCTCTCACCGCTGTGGCCTCTCCCATCGCGGAGCACAGGCTCCGGACGCGCAGGCTCAGCGGCCATGGCTCACGGGCCCAGCCGCCCCGCAGCATGTGGGGTCTTCCCGGACCGGGGCACGAACCCGTGTCCCCTGCATCGGCGGGCGGACTCCCAACCACTGCGCCACCAGGGAAGCCCCAAATGAATAGATATGATCAGCGCCTAGCCCAGGACTTGTAAATAGTAGGTGCTTAATGAATATTTATTCAAGGAATTAATTTATCATGTTTTCCTACAACTACCCTCTAAACTCATGTATGTTTTCAAACCACACAATTAGAGAAATTCATTGGAAAATGGATATAAGATATTTTTCTACAAATGTCTTGTTCTCATCTCTTATGTGCTTTGCTTGTGTAATCCTCAGAGTAGTAATTATGTCTATTCAGCAGTAGTCTAGTTGAGATGTAATACATTCAGTTAAAATGGGTATAAAGCTGATAAATTTAGGGCTTGATTTTAGACTTGGCAGAATTTTTAAGCTGTTTTTTATTGAAGTATAACACATAAAGTACACAAATGAATTTTTATAAATGAGTGCTTCTATGTAACCACCATTCAGATCAGGATGTAGGACAGTACCAGAACTCCAGAAGCACCCTCCCTGGCCCCTCCCAATCAGTAACTTCCTTGCAAAATAATCATTATTTTGACTTATGTCACCATTAATTAGTCTGCCTGTTTGAGCTTCATATAAATGGAATCATACAGTATGCACTCTTTTGTCTGGTTTCTTTCAGTCATATCATGTCTATGAGATTCATCCATGGAAGTAGTTTGTTTCTTTTCATTTTCATATGAATATATCAAAATTTATTTATCCATTGTACTTTGATAGACACTTGGTTTGTGTTTACTTGGGTCTATTATAAATAAAGCTGCTCTAAATATTCTTATCTATGATTTTTCATGCACACTGCATTCATTTCTCTTGTGTACATGCCTAGCCCTGGGATTGCTGGCTCATAGGATATGCATATGTTTTACTTTAGTAGACACTACTAACCAGTTTTCCAAGGTAATTGTGACAATTTACCTCCTACCAGTAGTGTATGGTGTATGAGAATTCCAGTTGCTCCACATTTTCACCAATACTTGATAGTGTCTCTTTTTTTAGCCATTCTGACGGATATGTAGCACTGTCTCAAAGTGGATTTAATTTGCATATCTGTGATGAGTAATGATATTGAGCACCTTTCCATACACTTATTGGTCATTGGATATTCACTTTTATGGAACACATGATTCATTCTTCTGCTGATTTTCTTAAATTGGATTGTCCTCTTTTTCAAATTGATTTATGGGAGTTCTTTCTATATTCTGGGTATGAGTTCATTGTTGGATATCTAAATTACAGGTGCCTTCTAGTCTGTGGCTGGCCTTTCCACTCTAGTAATGATATCTTTCAATGACTGAAGGTCCCAAATTTTAAAGAAGTCTTGTATCAACTTTTTTCTTTCTAGTTAGGTTTATTGTATCCCCTTTAAGAAACTTTTGCTTACCCCAGGGTCATTAATATTTTTTCTTTTACCTTCTGACGATTTATTTTAACTTACATATTTAGATTATGAACTTATTTTTGTGTTTATTATTAGGTAAGGTCAAAGTTCTTTGTTTTTTTGACATGTGGTTATCTAGTGGCCCTAGCACTGTTTATTGGAAAGAACATCCTTGCCTCAGAGCATTTCAGTGGCCTATTTGTTTTAAGTTAAGTGATCATATATGTGTGGTTTGTTTCTGAACTCTCTTCTGTTCATTGGACTATTTCTATATTCTTTCACCATTACTATACCATTTAAAGTACTGTGGCTTTTGATATCTTGTAGTGTAAATCCTCCAACTTTGTTCTTTTTCATTGTCTTTCTTATTCTTTTTCCTCTATGTTTTCATATGAATTTAGAAACAGCTTATAAATTTCCAAACACAAATACCTTCTAGCTACTTTTGGATTTTCTAAGCATACAAACTGGCCATCTGTGAATAATCACAGTTTCTCCCTTTTCAAGTCCTTGCATCTCTCTCTCTCTCTCTCTCTCTCTCTCTCTCTCTCTCTCTCTCTCTCTGCTTTATTGCTTTGGTTCATATCATCAGTGGTATATTGGTAGTGGAAATCCTTGTCTCCAGGGAAAAGCTTTCAATATTTCATTACTAAGTATGTTTTTTATAGATTTTTGTAGATACTGTTTTTCAGTTAAAGAAATTATCATCTGTTCCTAGTTTAGTTAGAGTATTTGTCATGAATAGGTGTTGAATTTTATCAGATTTTTTCCTGCTTTTATTGAGGTGATTATATATTTGTTCTTTATTATTGTGATAAAATACATTGATTTTATTGTTTTGTTTTGGTTTGGGGTTTTTTTTTTTTTTGGTCTATGGTCATGAGACATATTGTCTATTTTTTTTCCTTGTTATGTCCCTAACAGGTTTTATTATGACTATGCTGGCATCAAAAAATAATTTGGGAAATAATACATCATTTTTCAGTTAACTGGAGGAGTTTATATAATATTGGCATTATTTCCTCATTACTATTTGGAAGAATTCACTGATAAATTCCACTGAACTTGTTTTCTTTGGAGAAAGGTTTCAATTAAAGATTCCTTAATGTTTCAGAGCTGTCAGATTTTCAATTCTTGTTTCATTTTTAAGGAATTTTATTTAATATAAAATATAAAATCTATTGGCAAAATTCAGAGTATTGTATTATTTATCTTTTTAATGATTATAGGATCTTTAGTGATGCCCTTATTTTATTCCTATTGGTAACTTGTTTTTTCTTTCTAGAAATTTATTGATTTTATTAATCTTTCAAAAAACGAATAGATCTTGTTGATTTTTTTTTCTCTTTTATATTTGTTGTATATTTCTTTTCTGCTTTTCTCTTTTTTATTCTTTCTATTTTATTTGGGTTTAATTTCCCTATCTTATTTATATAGATGCCTAACTTAATTAAATTTGGCATTTCTTATTTTTTATTATACATATTTTAAAGTTCTAAACACTTTAAACACTGCTTTAGTTACAGTTCACAACTCATTTTATATTTTATATTTTCATTAGAATTCAGTTAAAAATAGTTTTTAATGTCTTCTGATTTATTCTCTCATTTGTGCTTTATTTTAAATTGTACTGTATTGCCCAATTCCTAAATAGTTGGGGATTTCTAAGTATTTTTATGTTACTAATGTCTAGCTTAATTCCACTTTTGTCAGAGAATGTATTTTATTCAAATATTCTGCATTCTAATATGATATTTTTGTCTACTTATTCTATAAGTTACTGAGAGCTATATGTTAAAATCTCTAACCTAACTGTTGATTATAAATTATCTATTTTTCATTTTGAGTTCTTCAGTTTTTTGCCTTATATATTTTGAGGCTGTGTTATTAGCTGTGTACAGATGGTTATATCTTACTGTTGATGGTCCTTTGTATCATTGTAAAATGTCCCTTTTTATACTGGGATAAAGGACCGGCTCTCTTTTGGATAATATTTATGTGGTATTTTTTTCTTTTTACTTTCAGTCCTTATATGGGCCTGTATTTAAGATGTGTGTCTTTGGAGTATTATTTTATTATGATAACCTCTTTTAATCAGGATGTTTAGTTCATTTAAATGTCACGTGATTTCTCATTTATTTGGGTTCAAATCTGTCATCATGCTATTTGTCCCATCTGTTTCTTGATGCTTTCTTTTTCTTGTCTTCATTTCCTTGTAATTATGAAGTATTTTTATTACCCATTTTCCCTCAGTTTACTTGTTAATTGTATGTTCTTTCAGTACTCTTTTAGTAGTCACCGTGAAGATCACAACATGTGTTCTTCTTAAATTATTAGAGTCTATCTTAACTTAGTTCTTGATCCCTTTTCTAGACAATTCAAAGACCTTACGACACCTCATCTCTCTCAGCCTTTATGTGTTATATGTACTTTAATTTTACATATACTTTAAACCATGTAAAACATTATTATTTTGTTTGTTTGCTTTAAATAACTCATTTATTTTTAACCATATTTACCCTTTACTCTCCACTCCTTCCTTCATGACCATTTTCCTTCTTCATGTAGGATTCCCTTTTGTGCATATCTGCTGGCGCCAAATTCTCTTAGGTTTTGATTGTCTGAAAATGTTATTTTACTTTATGGAGACTATTTGGCTGACTATAGAATTTACGTTAGCAGTTATGTTTCTTTCAATATTTTAAATGTGTCATTTTTTTCCTCTTTGACCTTCTCTAGTGTTTGTTGAAAAATATACTGGCAGTCTTATTCTTGCTCATTTAAAAGAAATCTCTCTTTAATTCACTGCTTTTTAAGATTTTTCTGTCTTTGATTTTCAGTAGTTTTATTATAGTGTGCCCAGATGTGTTTTGGGGTTGTTTTTTTTTTCTTTCTTTTTGTATTTTGTAAGATGTGTAGAACTTATTGCATCTATGATTTGTCTTTCATTTAGGAAGATTCTCAGTCAATTTTTCTTTCAAATACTGTTTTTGACCTATACTCTTATTTTCTTTCTGGGACTCCAATTATATGTATGTTAGACTGATCACTTTGTCTTATGTACCTCTCTCTTACAAATGGCTTACAATACAAGTTTATGATGTAACAAATCTGTAGGTGAGAATTGTGACCCAAGCTAAAACCTCGGTGTTGGTAGGGCTCCATTTCTTTGTGGAGGCTCTAGAGGAGAATCTGTTTCCTGCTCATTTGGGTTATTGGTAGAATTGATTCTTTGAGTTGCAGGACCAGGGCCCAGGTTCTAGTTTTTTAACTGGTTGTAAGCTGAGAGCTTTCTCAGCTTCTAGAGGCTGCCACATTCCGTGGGTCCTAGCCTCCTTCTTCCATTTTCAGAACCAGCAGTTCGGGATTGAGTTCTCTTGTCACAGCTCTCTGACCTTTTCATCTTCAGTTATCACTGCTTTTAAAGACCCACGTGATTAGATTGGGCCTACATGGTTAATCTCCCCACTTCAGGATCTTTAACCTTAATCATATCTGCAGAGACCCTTTCACCATGTAAGGTAACAAAATCATACCTTTCGGGGATTAGCCAACCACCCTGGCTACTGTAGGAATTTATGTTTCATGGGAAAAAAACAAAAACCAAAAACTGCCGTGTGAGAACCTGACTCAGGAAGAATTGAAAACTGGCCAAGCTTCCTTATTCTTTTTCTTTTTTTTTGCGGTACGCGGGCCTCTCACTGTTGTGGCCTCTCCCGTTGCAGAGCACAGGCTCCGGACGCGCAGGCTCAGCGGCCATGGCTCACGGGCGCAGCCGCTCCATGGCATGTGGGATCTTCCCGGACCGGGGCACGAACCCGTTTCCCCTGCTTCGGCACGCGGACTCTCAACCACTGTGCCACCAGGGAAGCCCAAGCTTCCCTATTCTTGATCCTCATCAACTCTCCTTATTCTAACATCAGGCTAGACATCGGTGTTACTACTTCTCATTCTGATCCAAAGAACCAGATTAATCGAGTTGCTGTTTTAGCTTTTATCCTTCTTGGGTGGGAGGAAATCAAATGCTCTAGCTTACAACTCTTTTAGGGGCTATAGTGGGAATAATAGCAAGCAAGCAATAATGACAACAGCCTAGGTTTATCAAGTACTTACCACGTGCCAGTGTAATGCTAAGCACTATTATTTCATTTTCTCATTCAGTCCTTTCACCAAGTCTGTGAGGTAGGTACAGTTATTATTCCATACAACCGGTGAGGAAACTGTGCTTAGAAGTTGGGGAGCTTGCTCCAGGTTTGCCTGGTAAATGGTGTAGCTAGAATTCAAACTGAGATCTTTTGGATGTTTGCGCTCATTCTCTTTACCAGTTACTATACTGTCTCCACTTTGTGATAGCATATATTACTGCTTGTATTAAGTTCTTGTAAGTATTCCCATGGAAAATTTGCTACTTAATTAAAAATCATTGTCTTACCAAGTGACTGCATTTTACAGTTAATTTCATTTGTGTTCATACAGGCGAAAAACCATACAAGTGTCAAATTTGCAATCAATCTTTTAGAATTAAGAAAACTTTAACAAAACACTTGGTCATTCATTCTGATGCCCGGCCTTTCAACTGTCAGCACTGTAATGCAACATTTAAGCGGAAAGACAAGCTGAAATACCACATTGACCACGTTCATGGCATAAAGTCACCTGACGATCCTCTCAGTGCTTCTGAGGAGAAGCTTGTATCCTTGCCAGTAGAGTACTCATCCGATGATAAAATCTTTCAGACAGAAACAAAACAGTATATGGAGCAGCCCAAAGTTTACCCGTCAGAAGCCAAGACTATATTGCAGAGTGTGTCTGCTGAAGTGTGTGTCCCCGTAACGCTGGTTCCAGTCCAGATGCCTGACACTCAGAGTGACCTGGTGCGTCACACCACTACTCTCCCTCCACCTTCTCACGAGATCTTGTCGCCACAGCAGCCATCCACTGATTACCCACGAGCAGCTGACTTAGCTTTCCTGGAGAAATACACTCTTACTCCTCAGCCTGCAAATATAGTTCATCCAGTCCGACCTGAGCAAATGCTAGATCCTAGAGAACAGTCTTATCTTGGAACGTTATTGGGCCTTGATAATGCCACTGCTGTACAAAATATTTCTAATCGTGAGCATCATTCATGAGTAAATCTAAGCATTCCACAGACTTTTTCTGTGGTTACGCGTTAATGGTAGCCTAGAGCTGACAGCTTTTAACTTAGTGGGGCTGCTATTTTTTCATTTTCTCTAGTGTCTCAAGTCCTCAGAACCATTTCAAATCAAGAAAAATATGTATCTATGTTTACTGAACGTATGAATATTTGGACATATTTTGAGGTATAATATTTGAAATGGACATTTTTGTGATTTTTTTTTAAAGGCTAGTGCTAACTTTTAATGGTTTCTCTAACTTTTCAAAACTATTAGCTGTTAACATTATGAGGGTATTTGTTTTTAGTCATCAGTGGAAATTTTTATTCTTCTTTAGTCTCATTCCTCGTTTCTCCCTTCCCCATCTTCCAAACAAGTGTTAAGGATGATGTAGCTTTTAAGAAAGAATACAAGAGTATAGAGAACTGATAATTGCAACTGTTCCTTATCCTAACTTAAGTTTCATGATTATTTCTTCCAGATTTTTAAAAACTGAAATCAGGAATTTGAATTTATAAGAAAGTCTTGGGAGAGTTCTGTGTTCCTTTGTCATCCAGGCATAATTTCACTTTATCACTATCCTTTGGTCTTTTGACAAACTCAAAGCCAGAAAGCTAACTAATGCAGGATTAGTTCATTAAAGGAAATGTAGAATTGAAATAACTACCCAGATGATTGGTTTTTGCCTGTGCTTCAATTATTATGAATAAGAAATGCAAATACATGTCTAGGCATTAAATTATACAAGTTGAAAATGTGTTAAAAGCAAAATATGACCGTTTTAACTAGATATTTTTCAAGGTAAGTTCACCTTTTGTATTTTGCCATTTATTTCAGAAAGAATAATGTATCACAACATATATCTTCATCTTACTATTGGAAAGGCAGTTATAACTAATTAGTGAAAATTTAATTAACAAGCTACTTTTGGTCTCATTTACCTTTGCTAACTGAAACTCTGGGAAATAGAACCTACAGACTTCATATATGATTGTTAGAAAAGGTGCCAAACAAACATAAAATTTGTGTCTAATTGAACTTAATGTTTTTTAATTAAAGGGAACCATTATTTGTATACAGATTTACATGTAATCTAGATCTTTATTTTTGCTTTACACATAAGCCTAATGTCTGTAATTATCCTTGATTTTTATTTTTGTATGAGACAAAAGTTGAGGACTTGGTAAAAGTAAATAGCAGTTGGAGCAAAACCTCACTGATTAAAATTAAATGAGGAAAAAGTCAGTCAGAATTGTAAAATACCTTTAAAGATGTGCACTTTCCATATTTTCAAGTCAGTTTAAACTTAAACTAGGATGTTTCCTAGTAGAGCTGCTTAAAGGGTTAGAGAATAGGCAGGGTTGATTTATTATTAGCATGTCATTTGTATGTAAACTACTGGAAAATAGCAATTTTAAGAGTTTTCTACTTCAGTTTTGTTTACACTCCTAATTGCTTTAAGCACTTTTTTTTGCGTAAAGTCTGGCCCAGCCCTTGTGAAAAAAATCACAAATAAAATAACGAAGTTTTAGTGAATAAAATTTAACCACTTAATAATGTGGAAACTTGTTTCCTGAAGCACTTAAGAAATGAAGGTACTTTACAGGAGTACTCACCACACTCATGGAAATAAAACAAAAGAAAAAAAAAGTTGAGAATTAGGGCAGTTAACCAAAGTGGCTCATATAAGTAATAAAACCAACCTGAGTTTTGCCTCATTTATCAAAGTTTGGTTATAATTATCCTAGGACCGATAGATACTAGTTATGTATTAATTCTTCATAAAGCATTCTTACTTTTGTGTGGAAATGTTGTGTCTGGAGTACTTACATGATAGAACTTGACTATATGAGGTACTATTATTCTGTCTTTCAAAATGACTTTAAAAAATACATATCTTTATGATTTTTATCATAAAGACCTACAAGACTTAACTAAAAAACTTAGTATGATGAAAAGAAATCATATCTAAAAATGTACCCTGCCTTGCATATAAACCAATGTAGAAAAGTTTGGACTTACAGAAAGGCAAATGGTATATATGTATATGTGTGTGTTATATGTTTGGTAGCAGAAAAAGAGGGTGTTGCGGTGTTGCATTTTCAACATTCAAAAGAATACCTTGCTTTTTGAAGGTATTGACTTTAGGGTTCTTTTAATAATAATCTCCTAATGCTTTAAATATATGATTTGATTGTAGGAATTGGTTTACAGTATAGAACTTTTCTGGAATACATCTCTTATATAAAGTGAAACATAATTATATTTAGTTATTATTGTAGATAACAAACTTGAATAGTAGTTTACTGTTTTATACAATGCTTTCACAGTTATCTCATTTAAACCTCATAACCAGCTCTGAAATAGAAATGATATACTGTATTCCCATGTTAGAGATAAAGAATCTGAGGTTAAGCCTACATCATTAATAAGTGGCAGAGCTACTAATAGGGAAAGAAAAGGAGCAAT